ACATCAAAGCTGCGCTTGGAAAATAGCTATAAGCGTATGCGAATGTTTCAAACAAAGAAAAAAAATGAGATCTTTTCTGTGAATTCACCCCAAATAATGTGAAGTTACTAACCGCAAATATTAATTCGCCCCAAGAAATTATAATTTTTATATCAAATTTGTTTAACTTGTCTCGCAACAACTCCGACTCTCAAAATGGGAAATTACCAAAAATCAGGGAATTATTTACATTTCGTAAATGCGGGGGACATTCGAGGTAATTACAGGGGATTTTTTACAATTAAAAAAAAAAACAAAAACAAATATCCGCTTTTGGTTTGTTTATCGGAGTGAGCACAAATGTAGACCCCATATTTAGAAATAGCACACTCGAATCGCCCACATTTGGGGCGAGGGCAAAGGTCAACCCAACCGGAGTGCAATAGAGGGGCCTTGCTCTGGGAGAACTTGTGAATTTTAGTAAATATAAATTCTTTTTTTATTTTGGCGTGAATTAATAGAAAAAAAAAACCCAAACTCTCTTTAACAGTGCGTTCAGGCTTTAGTTTAAATAATTAGTGCACGTCTAATATATTAATACTCCATAAGTATCTTGATAGTTAATTGTTTCGTGACAAAAGGGTTTGTAATTTTTTTTATACTAAATTTTAATTAGTAGTATTTTTAATTACAGTTTTTTTCACAGATGAATAAGACTAAATAAAAAAGAAAATTAAACTTTCTTATTTCTATTGTGGGTTAATTCCTGCCCTCATTTATTATTAATGTGAATAATAATAATAATAATAATAATAATAATAATAAGAAGAAGAAGAAGAAGAAGAAGAAGAAGAAAAAGAAGAAGAAGAAGAAGAGTAATCATAAGAAGAAAAATAAGAGTTATAATAATAATGATAATAAGAAGAAAATGAAGAATAAGAATAAGAATAAGAATAATAATAAGATGAAGCATAAGAATAAGAAGAAAAATAATAAGAACAATAATAATAATAATAATAATAATAATAATAATAATAATCACTCGCCAAACATATGACATTTGGCGAGAGAAGGTAGACAAACAATTAGAAAGTACATAGACAAAAATAAACTAGCCAATGTAAGAAGGGACATCATGCAGAAATAACCGATTGACAGAGGCTGAAATTAATGAAATAAAAAGAATTGCAACAAGAATAGATGAACCAACAAAACATGAAAAGGAACCGGAATCGGGAAAAAAAAAGTAATAACATCACACAAGCCTCAGGTCATAAATGAAAAAACCGAAATACACACAAATCACTGTGAAGATAATGCTGAAAATTTAGAAATGTTGGAAAGGTATGATCTTAGTCAGTCACAAGATTTGTAATAAAACGAGTTCAAAATTCATCGAACAGAATTATTTCACAGAAAACAAGATTAATATACAAGAAGCCAAGGATGAAATCATGAGCCATATAAGTCAGATACAGAATATTGCAATGGAGGGAACGAGAACAACTCCCAAAATTACAACCAACAAAGCATAACCTCAAAACTATTAAGCTCTATAATGCAGCACTCAAATTGATTCTGGATGAAGAAGACACTCATATAAATCTCAATGAAGCAATATATGCATCAGCAATAGCAGCAACAAATAAACTGAACATCAAAGTAAAAAAAAGGCAGTCTCACAGACATGAAGATCCACCTTGGAAAAGAAAAATAGAAAAAGAAATTGAACACCTTAGAAGTGAATTATCAGTACTCGATGAACTAGCAAGAGGAGTAAATGTAAGAACTAGAAAAGGCAGAAGAGTCGAAAGAAAATACAATATCAGGAATGAAAATGAAGTCCTATCAACTAAAGAAAAAATAAAGCAAACAATACAACTGAAGGCTCAAAAGAATAAGACGCTACGAGAAAAGATCAAGATTCTATAGACAGAACAAGATCTTTCAAACCGATGCAAAGAAATTTTACAGGGAAATAGGTAAACAAAGAATTGAAGTGACAGTCCCCCTAAAATGGAAGAAGTTATACAGTTCTGGGGAAAAATATGGGCTTGCCCTAAAAGAACACAACGAAGAGGCAGATTGGATTGCGCAAGAGTTAGAACGAATGAAAAATAAACCAGAACAGACATGGGCGGGAATCACAGAAGAAGATGTTAAATGTGCACTGAAAAAAGCACACAACTGGAAATCTCAGGAATAGATAAAATTCTAACTTCTGGCTATATTATTTAAATACAGCACACAAAAAACTCGCCAAAGAACTTCAAGAAATGGTTACCGATCCAACTAAAATTCCTGCATGGATGACCAAAGGAGTTACCTTTCTTCTACCCAAAATAGTGACACAAATATTCCGAAAAACTATAGACCAATTACATGTCTTCCAACAACATACAAACTGTTAACATCTATTTTAACAAAACAGACATATTTCTTCTTGGAAAGAAATGACATACTACCACTTGAACAAAAAGGGTGCAAACGAGGCTGCTACGGATGTAAAGACCAATTACTTATTAATAGGATGATCTGGAAAACTGCTTCCGTGGAAAAAAAAAATCTTAGTATTGCCTGGATAGATTATCGTAAAGCATTCGATAGTGTACCACATTCCTGGATCTTAAAGTCTTTAAGTATGTACAAGGTATCACCCGTTATTATCAATTTCATCAAACAATGTATGTCGATATGGAAAACTACACTTTACCTCAATCATAAAAATGGAACCTATAAGTCTGGCGAAATAAACATCAATAGAGGAATATTTCAAGGTGACTCTTTGTCTCCTTTATTATTTTGCATATCACTTATAGCATTAACCAGCCAACTTAACAAGACAGAATGCGGTTACAAAATAGCTCAAAAGAAAATAAACCATCTATTTTACATGGATGACTTAAAATTGTATGCTAGGAATGACAATGAGCTGGAAGGTCTTCTGCAAACTGTAAAATGCTTCAGTGAAGACATTGGAATGAAATTCAATTTGGATAAATGTGCTAAAACTACAGTTTTACGAGGATCGCTACAACAAACTTCCTCTATTAGTTTAGACCCTGCTGTAACAATAAAAGATTTAGAACAAGGAGAAGCTTATAAGTACCTAAGGTGTAAATGAGAGTGAAGGAATTCACCATAAGAAAATGAAAGAAATAGTGCGTAAAAGAGTACTATAGAAGGTACGACTGGTATTAAAAACTGAATTGAATTCTCAGAACAGAATTATGGCCATTAATAACCTTGCCATCCCAGTGGTCAATATAGTTTCAACATCTTGAACTGGACTCTAAATGACATCAGACAAATGGATTCTAAAACAAAGCTTCTTTCTAAGTATAAGATGCATCATCCAAAAGGCTGATGTAGACCGTCTATACATACCCCGTAAAGAAGGTGGAAGAGGTCTTATTCAGCTAGAATTGTCATACAAGACAACAACTATTGGCTTACTAACACATGGAAACAACAAATGACTGGATGATAAAATTGGTGAAACAACATGAAAACAGAAAGAAAAAATATTCAATAATAAAAGAAGGCAGTAAATACAAACAACATTTACATTTAGTAGATTCTGTAGTAAATCAAAACAGAAGCCAAGAACCAACTATTGCAGCAAAAAGATATGAAAAAGAAAGCCAAGGATAAAAGCCCTTGAACAGATGAAACAACGCTGGCAAGACAAACCTCTGCATGGCCAATATCCAGAACGTGCAAATAAACCCAATGTTGATAAAGTTAATACTCATCGATGGTTACGAGCATCTGGATTAAAGTCTGAAACTGAAGGCTTTATTCTTGCAGCGCAAGACCAGAGTCTTTTCACTAGGAATTTTCAGGCAAATATCATACATAATAATGTGGATCCAAAATGCAGGTTCTGTGACAAATACCAAGAAACAATAGACCATCTAATCTCAGGATGTTCTATACTTGCCCCAAATGAATATAAAAATCGTCACGATAGAGTGGGGGCAATACTTACACTGGACAATGTGCAAACACTTTGAAAATGTGTAAGCAAACACTGGTATGAACATCGGCCAGCGCCGGTTACAGAAATAGAAGATGTCACCATTCTATGGGATTATACCATCCACACAGACAGAAAAATTGAAGCAAATAGGCCGGACATTATTGTCAAAAACCAGAAAGAAAAAACTTGCCTACTAATTGATATATGGCTTGTCCAGCGGATTGTAACATAGCAACCAAGGAATTTGAAAAACTATCAAAATACAAAGACCTGGAAATTGAAATAGAAAAATGTGGAAATTGAAAACAAGAATAATACCAGTGGTAATAGGTGCACTTGGAATTATAAAAAATGGAACAAAACAACACATTGAAAGAATCCTGGAAACCCCAGCTTAAGAGACATACAGAAAATTGTCTTATTAAGTACAGCACACACACTAAGGAGAACTTTGTCTATGTAACGCTAGCAACTTCATCGGGAAAAAAAAAAAAAAAAATTAACATGAAATGTGGCCATAACAACACACACGACCTGCCTTAGGTCTTTCCGCAGACTTGGTAGGTAGTGTGTCCATAGCAGAAATCGAATGATGATGATGATGACAATAATAATAATAATAATAATAATAATAATAATCAGAAAAAGAAGAAGAAAAAGAAAAGGAATAATAATAATAATCAGAAGAAGATGAATACTACTACTACTACTACTACTACTACTACTACTAATAATAATAATAATAATACTAAGAAGAAGAAGCCGGGAATTGAAACTGAAGCCTACCCGTGTTATTCATTACACCTGAGATATCTTTAGGCGTAGCTCGCATTCTTAATTGCTTGCTTTTCAATAAGTCAGTCTTTCGCATTGATGGCAAAGCTTCCTCCATTTTAGAGATGCTGTCAAATATTTTCATGAATAAATGATAAAATCAGACGAATTGGCTTTCTCTATTTCACGAATGAATGAAAACGGATTCAAACAAGTCATCTGTTTGACTAATAGCAATGTTTGACACGTCATCTCCCTTTTTTAAATGTTTTTCTTTCAATTGCTCCTTGGTAAGGATTACGGTTAGTATGGCACAAGGCTAAATGGACTGAAACGATTTGGCGGCGGGGCGGGGGTGTTTGCACTTGTCTTCCAAATGAGTTGGGGACATGCCTGTTTTCTTGCATCGAAAATGAAATTTCAAAATCCCCAAATGTTTTATTCGAGATTGAACAGCGTACAGAGGCGCCATTGACAGATACGCAATCCACTTTAATGTACATCAGTCAGTCAGTTAAATGCCATGCGTGATAAACGCTTGGACGATCATGCCTCTTTCGGTTCATGATTGACCACACAGAAGATTTTCCCGTAGTATGGTTGTCATTTCTTTCTACTGTAGACCGGTTGCCACCCAAAGCTATAGAACCGAGTCTCTCCTACTATGTATCCATAGCTGGTGGGTGGAGAAGAGATGGATTCATGCCTTTCTCAAGGGTATTAGCACATAAGTGAATGTAATGAACTCGACTTGAATTCGAATTCGGCTCTCCTTTTTCTCAATCCGAGCCGCAATCCCAAGTGACCATAAATAGGAAGAACAGAATGATGATTGAGTGCGCCATTTTAATGATCGTTTTTTTTTCAGTTTTCTTTTTCTTTTCATTTCTCGTTCTCAGACTGATTTAAAATCATTCAGTTTATTTCTTTTTTTTTTCTAACCTGCCATTATTTTAAACTGACAATCTGCATGAAACATTATCTGGTCGCATTGTCCAAACAAAAAACTAAATAGATTGGTCTAGGAATGTCCACTTTCGCTAAAAAAAAAACGCACCCTGATGAAAAAAAAAAAGCCCCAAACTTGATCAAAAAATTTTTGTATTGTCGAGATGTTTATGTCATTATTTAGAGGAAAGACCAAAGTATTTTTTGAGTATTTTTTAAATTTTTTAATCCTTTCTAGCATGTCCGAAATTTTAGCTAAAATCTTGTTTTTTTGAGTCATCAGAATTAACGTAAAAACGGTAAAAAACAATCATTATTGACAGCTTTATAAACAAAAGTGAAGTTTTCCATTTAAAAATCTTGTAAAATTCAATTATACTTTTTGCAAAAGTTATTTTAGGAAAATTAGAAAATTTAAAGTATACTTAATGTAATTTGAAAGAAACATTACTTATTTTTCATAAGAAAATTTTTTAAAAAGACATTTCCAACCGTGGTGCTTGGTTTTTTGGGTCTGATTGAGGGGTGTTGGTGTACGTCAATCTGTCAACAACTTATGTCAGGGGAATTTATCGGACGGTAGGGCAAAAGTGATATAAATCGGTCTAGCTTTAAGTGAACCAGTTTATTATATATACATATTTCCATTTTTTTTACCTTACGTTTGAGGGAGAATTCTTGAATAAAAATAACATTTAAATTACGAAAAAATACAGTTATAGTTCTAATTTTATATGACAAAAATTTTGTAACAATATTGTTATCTACACATAAAATTTCATGTTCTTTTTTTTTAAAAAAAATTAAGTTTTATCTCAGGCCAGCTGTTTTTTGAGGATTCCTAGCTTCACTTAACTTAAAGTCAATTTAGGTTTGCCATAGTAAAAGTTTGTTTTGTTTTTTAACACCTACTCATCCGGGTGATGACAACAACACTGAACAGATGACATTTTTTTTTCGTTTTCTCTTTTTCATTTTTTTTTTTTTTTTTTTGCCACATGTCTTTCATATGACAAAAACAAGCATTTTAACAGCTATTTTTTTTAGTTATGAAATATTTTTCTGAGAATTTTTCCCAAAGACTCCTTTTTTGTTGTTTCTGTCCCTAAATTTGAATTTAAAAAAAATAATAATTAATATTTGCTGTATGTCTCTCACTGAAAAAGAGTTTGATTATAAAAAAACAAAATTAGAAGAAAAGTTTTTTAAAATAACTAGAAAAGATTTTTGACAATGCGACGATAATGGTCACTCAGAAAATTGGACACGTGCGCTCAGAACGAAAGCTATGCCAAAAAAAACCAGTACTAAAGACTAAACGATATTTTAAAAATCAGTGGGCATAACTCTAGCATAATTTGTATTTCTCTTAACTGGGCATCCATAGTTTTGTTGAAGATGATTTTAATGCATTTTTTTAAATAAAAAAAAATTACTGTAAAAAATGCTGCGAGTAACAGATTGTAATAAGTTTTCTAATTTATGATCTATAAAAATAGATCTTTTTAATGAGCGAAAAAATGAGGTACAAATGTTAACTTTATTTTTGAAACATTTATCAATATTATCACTTTTTTATTTAGATGTAAAAAAAGTAAACAATTCTCGTAAAAATTTATTTTTCTACCGAAAAAGATTTTGACTTCACAAAAAAAGTCCTTCTTGCTATATATTATTTTAAAAATACATTAAAAGTTGTTATCATTAAAAAATGTCTTAGTTTTCTTGCATTTTTGTATTTTAAATTCAGAGCTAAAATTGGGGTTTTCGCGAGTCAAAATTTTACACGAAATTTATGATTTATATTCCTCAAAGTCTCCTTTATTTAATTAAAAAATAAATTATTTTACACAGATCCTAGTTTTAAAGTTTTTATAAAATTAAGTAAGGTGGGTATCAGACGTAAACAAATATATTTTCACCATGATTTTCTAAAAGACAAACATTTCTTAAATAAATTCAGTTATTTCGGAATAAGTTCTGAAAGTTTCACTAAATTGCGACAATTATTTGATTTTTATAATAATTTCCAAATTTATGTGTTTTTTTAAGTGAAAAAAAAAAAGCTAATGCAAATATTAAGTGATCTTTGACCTAAAAAAAAAAAGATTTTCAACCACAAATTTAAACGTGCTAAAAATGAATAAAAAAATTTCAAAAAATAATTAAAAAATACTTTGGTCTCTACTCTTATTAATAACATAAAGTTTTTCGTGATAAAACGTTGTTTTTATTAAGTTTGGGGCCTTTTTTCATCAGGATATGCCACTTTTTTTTTTAGCGAAAAATGGGACATCCCTATCAGGTCGTTTGAAATTGGATGACGATTAGTTGTCGCTTATGAGGCTTTAAAATGCTCTGCAGGGAAGAACCTGAACACCATCAGTACACTAACTTTGTAGAAGTTACAATTCTTAAAGTATCATGGAAGCTTTAAAAACATAAAATTAAAAACCAAAACAAAAACAAAACACCCCCCCCCCAAAAAAAACCGAATATACCGTTGATACGCACGAATAATTTCGTTTTTTAATGTCTTTGGTTGTGTAACTGTAATTCTGATGCTTCCAATCAAAATATTTTACATCGAAAGGGATATTGTTTTCTGTCTTTTCCTATTCCGATATGGAGCGTTTGCGTTGAATGAAAGAAAAAAGAAGGAAAGAAAAAATAGTAGAAAAATAAAGAATAGAAGAGAAGGAGAGGGAAAGAGAGAGAGAGAGAGTGTGTGTAACTGTAAGCTGAGTTGCCAGTTGGTCTCAAAAACCACAACGACCCTATTTAAAATATCAAAGACCAAAATAAAATAAAATAAAAATACCAAAATAAGGATATTTTAATAGAAGCAGATAGTAAAGTCGTTATGAAGTGGCTAAACCAAGTAATTATTATCTTTTTACAACTAGTTTTCTTTATTTCTTTCATCACTGTCATTTCTCTTTTACTATTTTCTTTCTTTTTAAATCTAAGTTTTCCTTCCACTTTTTCTTCTAAATCTTTCTAAATATTTTTCTTTTTTTTTCCATGATTCTTTTACTTTCTTCATAAATATTCTTCTTTTTTTCTTTGTATTTTTCTTTCATTCTTTTTCAGTTTCTTTTGCTTTATTTCCTTCCTCTCTTCATTGCTTCCTTCCTTTAAGTATTTTTCTTTTAAAATATTCTTTCACAATTTTAAAGTATATTCCTGTTTTCCTTCATTCCTTCCTTCCTTTATTTCTATGTATTTATTTTTAAAAATATTTTTCATCCTTTCAAAGTATTTTCTTGTTTTATTTCCTTCCTTCCAAAGTATTTTTCTTTTTGAATATTTTCTTTCATTCTTTCTCAGTATATTCTTACCTCATTTTCTTTCTCCCTTTATTTCGAAGTATTTTTTAAAAATATTTTGTTTCATTCTTTCAAAGTATTTTCTTGCTTTATTTCCTTTCTTCCTAAGTATTTTTCTTTTTAAGTATTTTTCTTTCGTTCTTTCTCAATACTTTCTTGCTTTCATTCTATCTTCCCTTCGTTCTGTCCTTCATCTTTAAGTATTTTTCTTTTTTAATATTTTTTTTCATTCTTTCAAAGTATTTTCTTGCCTTATTTTCTTTTTTTGTTTATCCCATTCTTTCTCTTTTATTCTTCCTCTTTTCTTTTTTTTTTACCCATTTTCTCTTTCTTTGTTTTCTTGCCCTCTTTTCATTTTATTGCCAAATTATTTGTTCTTCCAACCTACTCTTGTGTCGAACCCTTCATTCCTAGCACGTCACTTCTGACGGGTCGGCGAATCAGAACGAAGAGAGGGGGGAAGGCCCCGTGCCATTTTGTGCTAATAAACGTTTTCTAATTTATTATACTTATATCTTTGACAAGAGATAAAATTACTCGGCCATGCGAAGGGAAATTCCATCTTAACGAAACTGCCATCTTACATTTTATACAATTCTTCTACACATCTTTTTCAAATACCGTTCGTGTCATATACACTAGGACTTGATGAGGCGTAATGGTTAACGAGCTAGTTTAACAGTCCTTTATTACTCTGGTGTAAATCCTATCCGCACTAGGTGCCCCACAGTTGTGCTTTTCTAATAGGCTGAGTAAATACCTCTATAACGTTTTCTTAGTGAACATGATCCTTGTGTAATGGTTAACAAGCCAGTCCCTCGTATCATGATGACTAAGTAGTGAGTTCAATTCTGACTGGGTGTATCATAATTCTGACTTGTTCGAAACTAAGCTGTACTTTGTAAATTAATATATAAAGCCCGGTCGGATCCCTTGCAGTTGGTAATGGTTAAAAGAGCTAATCTAATATACTGTCACTAATGTATGGGCACATGGCCGACTGGTTAGGACGTTCGCATTCGAACCCGAATCTCATGGTCAGGATGCAAACGTTTTAACCGCTTGGCCATGTTCCCATACATTAGTGACAATATATTAGATTAGCTCTTTAAATATTACCCCCACGGCTTCCTGGTGTTATCGAACTGGAGGGGTCGATTCCAGCGTGTGGCACCTTTAGAAAGAGCCTGAAAACCAAACCACGGGTTGACTTTGTATACGTAACCCTTGGAGGCCGTCAATAGCTGTGCTAGCACGAAGTCACAAGTCATCGTGGCCGAGGGCTTGAGCGTGCTGGCCTTGTTCAAATTGTTGATCACTCTAGATAACACGCTCTCTCCTAGAAACTGTAACTAAGGTCTGCTCAGCATAGTTGCAGTATTAACAACAGATCGGATCTGTTGGCGTTGAATAAACACAAATGCGCCTGAGCGGCGTCTGCAATAGGGATTGGCTAGCCGCCCTAGTTGACGAGTATCCTCGAATGTATGGCGAGATTGCTATTGACTGAATGCTACACTTGTAGCCTACTACTGAGTAAATATACACATACAAATTTACACGCACACACACACACATATACATATATATATATATATATTTTCATTCATACATGTTTCATTAAATAATATAGACACTTAATGAAACACACACACACACACACATTCAAGATTGATTGCCAAGAACAGACAAGGTCAGTCGTCTTTTTTATTTTTTTATATTTTCCAAATTTCGGATAAGGTGCTAAATAATAAAATAAAATAAAATAAAAAATAAATAAATCAATCGCATTCTTTCTTTGCGGCCTCGTTCTGGATAAGCGTTGCACATAACGTCATGCTTGATAATTTCAAACGTCCAGGTTCCCGAAGAATACCAGGATGTAGACAAAGGAATTTTAACTAGCACACAAACATCACCTTCGTTCTTGATAATAACTGCAATAGTTGAAAGTATTTGAACAAAATTAACAAAATATGAACTTAGGACAGTTTAGCCACAACTTCCAATATATTACACCTTATTCGAAAATTGAACAAATATAAAAACATCGACAGACAGACCGTGTCCGTTCTTTTTAATCAAACTTCTTTCGATTGATACTTGCTGCCTAAATATACCACACACACACACACATGTATATATATATAAGTGTGTGTGTAGATAACAATATATATATATATATTGTCACCCACAGACAGACTGTTTCGCTGTATCACAGCTCATCAGTGTGGTTAGACGTCCGATTGCTTCTAGCTAGGATCGAAACCCGACTGAATTGGCGTTAGTTGGGATTCTATCACTAAACCGTTGTCGCACGGCAAGGATGAAGATGAATTTAAGCGTATTTTTTTTTTTTTTTTAGATAAACACACAGTGACTGAGAGAACTCGAGTCGATTTACCAAAGAGTCATGCATTATTAGCCGTAATAGTCACTGTTTACAAACCCACACTTCCACGCCAGAGAGCTCAACCGAAATAATTTTTTCAGGAGCATATATATATATATATATATATATATATATATATTATTTAAAATATTTTATCATCGCTTCCCCTGTGTGTGTGTGTGTGTGTGTGTATATGTATATATATATATATGTATATATATATATGTCCAAATGTAATGAGATACGAAAAGAATATAAATTCAAACATTCATAACATTAATTTAAAAGTGGGCTCATTACAAATAGTAAAGCAATAGTTATTTATTATAAGTTATTACATACGAACAAACAAGTAAACACTACAAAGATGCGTATTTGTTTAAACGTCTATGACTAGCAATCCTGAAATTTTAGATTTCCAAGTTTTCATTTCTGCGATTTTTTTTAGGATTCCGCCATTTTAGCTTCTACTGATAAAAACAATTAAAGGTACACAACTCTATAACTTTCAATAGCTCATGTTCAAATGAAAAACATTACTGTTCTCAATGTTCAAAATTGTCCGTGTTTTCAACTTTATTCTTAGAAGCCGTAGCCCAATATATCATACTAATTCGGAATCAGGCCGACTCTGTGAGCAAATTAAAAACATTCCGGGCGAGTCCGGACCTGCAATACTAACATTTTGGATTCCCAAGCTGCTGCGATTGTTTTCAGCCAGTTTTTAAGTGATTTTTTGCGACGATTTTTTTTACGATAACAGTTTTTATAACATGAAAATAAATTTGGGAATAATTAATTCCGAAATCCAGCGAAAGTCACCCATGAAATAAAAATAATTGTTTGTACTGAAAGTAAGGACCTACGTGCATCAAATTGTCTTTAAATCTGATGCTGCCCTGATGAGAGACACCATCCTCCCTTTTGGTCAATTCTGGAAGTTTTCATCAATTGCTGCATTTAATTGGTTCATTTGGGAAAGGTACGTATCTCTATTTAAAGTGTTATACACACTATCACCTTTTTTCTATGCAGATCGATTTTTGGAATAGTGAACGGTGCCTCATTTCGTTTTCCCTAGGACCGTTTTCGCTCCATGTTGCTGTATACAACCCATTTTTCATCGCTTGTGATCGGCCTTAAAAAAGACAAACAAAAAAACAACCAAAAAAAAAACTCGATTTTGCTACCTTTTGGGTAGAGAGTCCCAGATGAAAATGCATCCCATTAACTTTTTTTTCTGTTAAAGTGTGAGGTATCCAAGAATGGTATGAGATAGATGGAGTATCTTCAACCAAGGTTTCGAATTGGTCATCAGCAATGATTTGCTTTAACGTTTGTGATCGTACGGGAACCTGTGTTTCAACGCGATGAGGACGTAAACCTAGACACGTTGAAATGTCACTTTTCAGAATATGTATCTATGCTATAAATTTAAATCACGTGTCCAAATGTTGCCCATTGAGAAACGCGACGAACATTTGTCCCAACCTGAGAGAGAGAGAGAGAGAGAGAAAGAGAGAGAGAGAGAGAGACTTCACGATATGGACCCAAGCCTAGACGCACTGAAATGTCATCTTTTGGAATATGTATATATCTATGTTATAAATTTATATCACGTATTAAACGAAATCACGTGTCCAAATGTTGCCCATTGATAAACGCGTCGAATTTTAGTCCCAACCCGATACAGTAAAGTGGAGGGGGGGAGAGTGGGAGAGAAAGAGGGAGATAGATAGATAGATAGATAGATAGAAAGAGAGAGAGGGGGGACTTTACGATATGGACCTAAGCTTAGACACAATGAAATGTCACCTATTGGAATATGTATATATCTATACTATAAATTTAAATCACGTGTTAAACGAAATCACGTATTAAACGAAATCACGTGTCCAAATTCTGCCCACTGAAAAACGCATCGAATTTTAGTTCCAACCTGATACAGTGGGGGAGAGAAAAAGAAAGAGAGAGAGAGAAAAAGAGAGAGGGGTGGCTTCATGAAATGGACCTAAGCCTGAACATATTGAAATGTCACCTTTCGGTATATGTATATATCTATGCTATAAATTTAAATCACGTGTTAAACGAAATCACGTGTCCAAATTCTGCCCATTGAAAAACGCATCGAATCTTAGTTCCAACCCGATACAGTAAGGCGGGGGGTGGTGGTGGAGAGTGGCTGGAACTAAGATATTTTCGTCTGTGAGCTTTCATATAGTGTAATTTGAGTTCACTTCCGAAACTGCAAAGATGACCCTAACCCTGACCCTAACCCTGACCCTAACCCTGACCCTAACCCTGACCCGTATCGGGAGACATATCTGATGAGGCGGAGATCCAAAGTTGACTTGCAACTTATCTCGAACAAGCTAATTGGAATTTAATTTTCCGCGAATATTTAAAGCAAAGAAGTAGACATCAAAAGACGAATATAAGTAAATTTAAGGCATACTAAAAACTCAGAAGCGGTTATGGAAAACATTGGCTTCAAATGAAGCCTTTAGAATGAACAATATCTATATCAAAGCAGTGGTAGTGAGGTGCCACAGATTTATACTAATTAGTTTAACTTTCACTTGGCGCTCAGCACTTGTGGTCTTATACCAGTCTAGGCTAAGCCTAATAAATACATATAGGATGTGAAAATTTTAGATATATTTTTATATCTGTTATTATGGTTTAGCTACTCACAAAAAAAGTCATAGATGCTAGAATTGCAATTTCAAAAATGAATATTATCTAGAATTCAGAAATGAGATGTTAGCGTCTGAAAATTCAATTCTTTTTTGTCAGGGGGCTTCCCCCGAATGGTGATTTTCTTAGTATAGTTTACATGTGGCACAAGGCCTAATGTATAGAGCACCCAGTGAGTATCGAACTCACTACTTAAATGTAATAACATTTGCTTGCTAGGGATTACATCATGTGGGATCTCTCCTAATGGCCAATAGAGGGCGTTGCTAAAAACGCAGTATAAAAGTAAGAAGAGCACAAGCTCTCTTTATTATTTCTTTCTTCGTCCACAGGATGCCGTAGGGACAAGACGTGTCTCGTTTCCTTTCAGCGGAACTTCACGGTCCCCTACGAACCACGTGCAGTATAAACATGTTACTAAATAATGATGCTGTATTTATTTCAACAACTGGTCAACGTTGCTACTAACAGATAAATTAATGTCGCTTCAGTAGAAACAGTAATCTTATACGGATCAAACATCTGGGCAAATGGAATCACGGACAAAAAAATATATGGTTGGTATACTTGATTAATGAGGTGAAAGTTAAATACCAACTGAAAGCGACAAATGGCCGATTAAGAACTCTGTGAAAATCTACCAAATATTATAGAGACAATATGTGAAAGACAATCGGATGGATACGATAGGCTAGTTGGAATTTATATGAATACATCGAACTCATTTCAAGAAACAATAACGCAGTGACTATAATACAAATCCTGCAGTCCATTCTACGCCCGTTTATTCCTCACTGGGTGCTTATCTAAACAAATACCGTCATGAGGTCACCTTGCTATACATTTCTCACAAATTTCTCAATGTGTGCTCCATGCATTTGGCCTTGTGCCAAAATGCATTTAATCAAAAAAAAAAATGCTATAGTAACCTCGCCTTGCAATCTATTCTTATCGTGTTTCTCACTGTGTGCAGCATACAATGAACCCTATTCCAATGTTGCCTTAATTCAACAATTATCGTATTGAGATTGTATTACAATCCATTATTCGGGAGTTTATCATTAGGCGCTCCATGCAGTCGGCCTTGTGCCGGCGCTGATTTTATTCAACAAATACCGTTGTGAGTTCGCCTCGCAACCTATTACTCGTGAGTTTATTTCACACTCTGTGCTCTATGCAATGGGCCTTGTGCCATAATTGATTTCAAGAAATAATAACGCAATGTTAAGCAATGATTATAATACAAATTCTGCACTCCATTCCACGTCCGTTTATTCCTCCATGAATTCGGCCATGTGATTAAGAATTGACTTAATACCCCCCCCCAACGGTATAGTAATCTCATCTTGTAATTCATTGTTATTTCCCTGTTTTGTTACAAACGGTCCAGTTAACCATAGAATTGACCGCATTTCCCATCAATGTGGTGTCCCCCAGGGCATCATTCTTGTGCCGAACATGATGTAAACATGGATGTGCGGGTGGTGTAATCGATAACAGCTCGCAATTGGAAATCGGAGAGCAGAGTTCCAATTTCAGCCGGGTTCGCTATATTCACTTTATAGCAAAGGAAAAAGTACGAATCTACCTCTTCTTTACCCCCAGTTATGGGTTAAATAGTAGAACTTGTATCAGTAAATCATTAGTATCTAAAAAAAAATACTAAGAATGCTAAAATTATTTTGTGGAGTTAAATAACACGCAAAATGTTGATAAACAGTAAAAACAGCGGTAAACCGAAAAAAAATGTGATAAACCGTAAAAACAAACTAATCGATCATTTACGAACATACTGAAATAAAGTAATGGTTAATGAGCTCGTTTTAAAGCACATTACTATTGTGCACAATGTTCGATCATTATAGCAACGTGCCTGATAAATCTTTCTGGATGCCAATATCACAGCAATGTTTTTGTGTGCGTCTATATGGTCACTGCGACAAAATGATGACAAATCGGGCGTTGATCAATTCCCTCCCCCTTCCTTAATGATTCATTCTACAGAAATCGGTTACATAGCGACGTTTACACCTGGCGTCCACGCCGCTCGTGCGTCTCTCAGCTTCTGTTCAACGTCTGACACGCCCACTGACGCTTTCATTAGCAACGCCAGTCGCTGCATCAAGAAAACTGACGCTTCTTACATAGAATACGTACGCCTGTCTGTGTGAATGTGTGTGCGTCGTGCGCACATATTTTCCTGAAGTGCGGATAGACGAGAGGTCAAAAGCGTTTATCACACCTGTGATGTATGGTTTCTCAATTTTACTCGGCGCTAATGAGGAACGTGGAAACTTTGATGTAATTTTAACCGCTTCGTCGCCAGTTTCCTTGTATTTAGAATTCATTTTGTTGGTCATGGCATTTGCTGAATTTCAGTAGCTTCCCGACAAGATCAAAAATTCTATTTGGAAGTATAGCGTTAAAAATTATCAAAGCAAAATGTCGGAGTCTGAAAAAAATTTACCCTTATAGAAAATAACTTTATTTCCAGGAAATGAACGAAAGGGATGAAAGTACACAGAGAAAGAATGTTGGAAAATATATCAATAATCTTAAACCATCACTAAAAACACTTGTAAAAAAAACAAGAAAAAGTTTTGAAAAATTCTTAATATATATATATATATATATATATATATATATATATATATATATATCAGGTCGTCCCATAAGTTCCGTACGAATTTTGAATAAAGAAAACAAGTTAGCAAATGTTACATTTAATTACAGATTCAATCAACAATGTATTTTCCCTGATTATCTATGACTTCCTTCCATCTATTAACAAGCTTACTAATTCCATTACTTTAAAATTCTTTTGGCTTTGATTCGAAGAAGTCACAAATGTCAGTTTTAACCTCTTCTGTGTTACAAAAGCTGTTTCTTCCAAATGATTCTGTAAGCTACGAAACAAATGGTAGTTTGAAGGAGCAAGATCGGGAGAATAAGGTGGATGAGGAATTTTCTTCCAACCAAGTTCTTCGATCTTTTGTGATGTGATTTTTGCTGTGTGGGGTCGCGCATTGTCCTGATGAAACATCACCTCTTTTCGATTCACTAGAGCAGGGCTTTTTTTTCCCTCAAAGCTTGGTTCAAACGCTCTAATTTCTGACAGTATATTTGAGCATTAATTGTTGCATTAGGTGATAAGAATTCAAAGTGGATTATTCCTTGGAGATCCCACCAGATTGAAAGAAGAACCTTTTGCTCATGAAGTTCCCTTCTCGGCTGTGGCTGGGGTCCTTCCCCTTTACCAAGCCACTGTCTACGACGCTTAACATTTTGATAAAAAATCCATTTTTCGCCGCCAGTCACAAGTCTATCCAAAAAAGATGAAACAAGTTGGCGAGAATGGAGAGAAGAGCAGATGTCAACTCGGGATTTGAGGTTATTTTCAGACAATTCATGAGGCACCCATTTTCCAAGTTTAGGAACTTTTCCAAGTTGTTGAAGATGACGATGAACAGTTGTATGGTTTAAACTGAGAACCACTGCCAATTCCTCAACTGATAAAGCAGGATTTTCTTCAAGGGCTGCTTCAAGAAGCTTTTCATCAAACTCAACTGGACGTCCGGTTCGATCTTCATCTTCAAGAGTAAAATCTCCACCTCTGAATTTTGCAAACCATCTTCTGCAAGTTCTTTCATTCACACATTCCTCTCCATAAAGTGAGTGAATGTTTCTAGCTGCTTCGGCTGCTGAGTTTTCTTTCTTGAACTCATAAAGCATTATATTGCCTCAAATGATTCTTGGGTACTTCCATGTTAGCAGGGTTTTAATCAAACAAAATTTAATCTTATTGTTCTCTGAAATAAAATTTGATCAGTTTAAATGCATCTCAACATAAAAATAATGTTCAGCTCCATTAGACATTATAAAATACTCTTTAAATTTCATTCATTTTAACAAAACGTTAAAATTCGGACAGAACTCATGGGATGACCTGATATATATATATATTGTATTGGGGCAGAAGATTATTATTTAAACATATATTGTTAAATATAACAGACAATGAATGTCTATTATGTCTGATCATGAGCCGTTTTAAAGCGGGTGAAAATAAAGGCAAAAATTGTCCAAAATTTGGATAATTTTTATTAAGTTGGTCCTTCATCTAATCTTTCGGTTCACCTGAACCATTTTCAGATTGGATATACGGACATTTTAACAAAGATAGTCATCATCGAAGATGTTATATTGTTATTGGAGATATTGAAGACCATCTACATTAAAACAAAGCAACCGACACTCAACAGAATTACACTTCAAACTAGTCACAACACATTAGATTGCATCTAGACATATGGTTCTGTTGTTAATATTTCGGTCTCTAGCGTGGTATGAAGTCATAGAACCGCATCTTGAACTTACGACCTGCGCCTGCTATTCCGTGACCGTTATCGTCGCATAGCAATCTTCTATGTCAACATAACAAAATTTCATCTTCGATCGGGAATATCTTTGATCGAAGACCAACTTAATAAAAAATATCCAAATGTTGAACAATTTTTGTCCCTATATTCAACTGAAATTAAAGTAAAAATATGAATTTTAGAACGGCTCATGATCAAACTTAACAGATATTCATTGTCTGCTATATTTAACAATATATATACAATATCTATATCTATCTATCTCTCTCTCTCTCTCTCTATATATATATATATATATATATATATATATATATATATATATATATATATTACAATTATAACTAGAGCTACAATATTCAATAAACTAAGAAATGTTCAAATGACTTATGACTTAGCTGGTTAGCCGACTCAAGATTGATAATCTGGTTGGGCGATATTTTTATCAAACATCTTGCCCGGACGAGCATTTTGACGCGAAATTCTTGAGTCGGCTACCAGCTAAAGCCACTTAGATAATCTTTTTATATATATATATATATATATATATATATATACGCATAAAAACTAAGTGAACCCCTAAAATAATATTTAAAAGAAGCTCGTCTCTTTCCGTGATAATCAACAAATCTTAAACTATATATTCATTAATTCGCCCTCTCCAATCTTCTAACTTTCTGTTCTGGAGTAACAAGATGTCTCACAGGTTTCATTTTCAAGTCTTTTTTCACTGTTCTTTGAACTGTCATACCTGAAACACCTCGCTCACGTGACAAACGTCTTATGGATTGAGTTGGATCTTTTCTAATTGATCTCTTTAGCTCTAAATTGAAATGATGATACCTTTTCTTGTTGTGATTTCCTGATCCAGTTTTCCTCTACTGTTCCCTCTTTTAAAAACTTATTCACCGTTGTCTTGATGGCTCTTGAATGGACTTTGAAAATGGAAGCCAGAGTATTAATGTTGGCACCATTACTAAAGATTTGAATGATCTTTTTCTTCTCACCATTGCTCAGTTGGGAAGACGGTGGATCTGATACAAAATAATTTTAATCTGCTCTCTTTTGAGCTGAAGTGTATTTCCCTGATTCTTACTGAAAATGGTGTCAAGATGGCTAAACGTCTTATCTGAAAACCTGGAAAAAAGAAACTCAATTAATTTTGCAATAGACTCAATTAATTTTTATAATATATATATATATATATATATATATATATATATATATATGTGTGTGTGTGTGTGTGTGTGTATGTATGTGTGTGTGTGTGTGTGTATCATTTCAAACGTTATTATAGTTGATACTTCGTGTTTGAAATAGACGCCCCATTTTTTTATTTTTATTTTAAACATTATGTCTATCGGCCTGCGTATTTGAGATATCTTTAAGAAGAAAATGTTCTTCCTGGACATGCGTGCCTCTTTTTAGGAGAAAGCACCGCTTGATCCGGCGTGTTTTACCGTTCGGCTACAGAGAGCGTCACAATTCAGCAAGGCTCCATTTTTCCTTTTAAGGAAAGCACTCTTCCCCATGCTGATAAACGCAATAGCCACCGTTTAAAGTAAAAGTAAAAATGGTGCATCTATTTCTACGTTTCAATCTCAGAACGGTTCAATTAAAAAAATTTATTCTTTTTTCTTTCTTAGCTTTAATTTGTTGGTACAAAATGATGTCGCATGCGAACGAGACACCTTGAGAGTAAACCGTCTGATGGGGTCCATTTTAGCCCCTTCCCTTGTGTGAGGACGAACAGTGATATTCTGAAAAGGCTGGCAATAAAGTGAACGTTTGCCTAAGGGCGGCCTACGTATTGGGATAATCTCGGCATGAAATAATCTTTGTCCAGTGAAACTGCTATACATAAAAAATATCATGTCTTCGCATGAATCGCTGGACATGTGACAAAAAATGATGGCGTCACAACACCTGCAGGGATTCACAGTATTGCATTCACCGAAGCGCACGAGTATAGCATTTATCGCAGCGAAACTTGGTCCAGTCATCCATTGCAAATGATTCTCCTCCAGCTGTTCTGTACCCAACATTGCCAAAGGATCGTGGACGTGAAGTTGAAAGAGGGGGTATACTCCCCCTACCCCCAGCTACTTACCTAAAAGACCCACCCACACATACGCCGCTTATTAGAAGTAACCTTCATTATACAATTGGCGCCCAAGCAGAATGCTGTTGAAAATGTCAGGGATTTTCATGATTATTTTAATGCAAAAGGCATCTGACTGAATTTCTCTAGAAAATTCTGTCTAGATAGAAGTGTAATTACCAAAATTCTTTACTTCTTTCTTGAAATTCTACCAAATTCATTTCTTGTCCTTGTGATCTATCTATCTATCTATCTATCTATCTATCTATCTATCTATCTATCTATCTATCTATCTGGGTCTGTTTGCTCCCTCCTCCTCTCTCCGTCTCTATCGATATTCAAACTATTTCACATTGTTCATCTCTCTCCTATATTCATCTATCTATATTCTATTCATAATCATATATCTGTTGGTGTGTAAACTCTCTCTCTCTCTCTCTCTCTCTCTCTCTATATATATATATATATATATATATATATATATATATATATATATATATCCAAGTATAGGATTGGTGTATACGGAATAAATTCTAATAACCAACAAATACTATTCTTAAAAGAGTGCACAATACAGAGTAGAGCAAATATAAGTTATTCGAAAAGTATAACATAAATATGTTATAAAATCGCATATTTATATTAAAATGAATTTTCAAATAAAATATATATATATATATATATATATATATATATATATATATATATATGTATTTCTGTTTGTAGAGAGAAACAGATATGAATATAGATCTTTCTCTTTCTCTTATTTATGTCTCTGATATATGAAATATCTCTATTAGAATTCATTTAAAAACGCAAAATACTTACCAGATTCCATCCGAAACATACTAGTAGAAAATACAAACATAATAACTTCATCCACATGGAAAAAGAGATTAAAAATAATAATAATAAAAAAGCCAACACTTAATATTAACTACGAACACGGCCACAATGTGCTAACTGTGTTCGGAAAATTTCTATAACTCTAAAAACATACACGCAACACATACACCTAATTAAAAGCAAAAAAAAAAAAATCAACCTTGAAAATGTATAGCCAAAAGAGATCGGAATTATAGAACATTTGGACAGTTTCTACACACTCTGTGTTCCCAAAAATAAACACTTGTTAAATCACAAGAAAAATTAAATAAAAAGCTTATTCGTAGTACCTTGTCTGGCGTCTTTAATGAAACATGTATAAATGAAGGATTGCTGCCTAAATACAGAATTATATATATGTATATATATATATATGTGTGTGTGTGTGTGTGTGTTTGAAAAGTGTATATAAATATAAATAAATATATATATTATATGCGCGGTACTTATTAGAAAGCGCTCAATATCAGAGATAGAGCTAACATCACATCTATCCAACTATATATATATATATATATATATATATATATGCAAATATCTCTCTATCCATCTCGGGATGTAAACATCTCTCTCTCTCTCTCTCTATATATATATATATATATATATATATATATATTCATAAGTGTTTCTCTCTGTAGAGTGAAATAGATATGTATCTCTGTTTTATATATATATATATAACGTAATCCACAGACAGACTGTTTCGCTGTTTCACAGCTCATCAGTGTGGCTAGACATCCGGTTGCCTCTAGCCAGGATCGAAACCCGACTGAATTGGTGTCAGTCGGAGATTCTAACCATTAAGCCGTCGGTAGGGATGAAAGTGAATTTTTTATCGTATTTATTTTTACAAACACGCCCAGTGACCGACAGTGACTTAATTCGCATCTGCAAAGAGTCTCGCTATATAGCTATAATGGTCACTGTTTACCAACCCATATATATATATATATATATATATATATATATATATATATATATATATATATATATATATATATGGTGTATTTAGGCAGAAAATTCTTTTTTTAGGCATGTCTGATTACATAAATTACAAACATTATGTCTGCTTATTCTTACCATAATCCGTTCATATTCACGGATATTTTTCCGTATATTACAATCAAATGATGCAAGAAATGCACTGTAACAGTGAAAATCACTTTTATTTCCAAATTATTTTCCCTCTATTCCAGAGATCATAATCAGAGGTGAAACTGGCAAAAACTATGTGTAGCTGTCCATTATTGATTTTTTTTTCTTTTTTGCGTTTAAATACAATAGCTGAAAGTTATGCTTTAGCGTTGATTAAAACGTGAAAATTTATACATTATGGAATTTTTTCTTTTATGTTGGAATGTCATGATCAAGCTCGCATTAAATTTAAAAACTGTTCTTTTCATAGGCATTTTAGATCATTATTACTATAATGCTGATTCAATTCAATATAGGCTTCATTTTTAATGTACATTGCCTCGAGGATCTGTAGTTTTAATTTGTTATTTTCTTGGTGTAGGATAGTTGTGTTATCAATCAGTATCTTTCTATACTGTGAATGTGGACAGGAATATTGGTGTAAATGTCTCGCAATGGACGTATGCTCAGACATGTGAGTCATAAGACGTCTTGATAATGTAGTTGTCATATATCAAACATATATACTCGTTTTTTTCAGTAATCGATAGTTACACATAGTTTTTGCCTTACCAGTTACACTCCTGATGATGATCTCAGAAAGAGATGGAAAGTATTTGGGAAATAAGTCATTTTCACTGTTACTCTATATTTCTTGCATCATTTGATTGTAATACACGGAAAAATATCCGTGAATATGAACGGATTATGCTAAAAATAAGCAGACATAATTTGTAATTTATTTAATCAAACTTGCCTAAAAGACACACCCCACACACACACTCTCACACACACATACATACGCACACACACATATATATGTATATATATTTATCAGTTTTTTCAAATTGATTGATCAATCTACCCTTAGCCTTTTCAGACGTATCTATCTAGGTCTGTTTGCATCTCTCTCTCTTTCTCTCTCTCTCGATCTCTCTCTATCGATGCTCAAATTATTTCACCCTGTTTAAATCTCTTTCTCCCTATATTCATCGATCTATATTCTATTTATATCTATCTCGGTCTGTGAACATGCCCCTCTCCCCCTCTCTCTGTCTATATATCTACCTATCCATCTCGGTTTGTAAACATCTCTCTCTCTCTCTCTCTCTATCTATCTATCTATCTATATATATATATATATATATATATATATATATATACATGTATATATATATCTTTTCAAAACGATCGATCGATTTCTTTCAGTCTTTTCAAATCTATATATTTACACATCTTATATCTGTCTTTTCATATCCATCTATCAAAGCCATTTCAGATCTATCTATCTATCTATCTATCTATCTATCTATCTATTTCGTCTGGCTATGTATGCCTTTCCCTCTGAACTTAGCTGTTACTCTTTTTACTTTTGATAGCTATATTTTTCTAAAGTAGATTGTAAACTTATGGGCTGTAATTCAATACACGTCATATTTCAGTCGTTTTGTTTTCGAGAAAATTCATTATACAGTAAAAGAAAGACACGTTTGGTCTGCCTTATATTTGAAATAATTTCGACACGGTTGACTAAAATTATTGTGAAAGCGCTTATCCTTCAGTTTATGGAGAGAAAACATTTAAATATTCCTTCAGTTAAGTTTTCCTTTTAAGCTGGGGAGAGGGGAGCGTTATAAATATTAGATTAGACGGTTGCATACACACGAATAAAATTTCCCCAGAGTATATTTAACAACTTGCAACAAAATTTAAAGAATGCTGTTCGAAATTAATTGCACAAGAAATTTTTTCATGTATAAATAATGAATATTAATTAATAAAAATTGAAACTTATAAACCTAAGGTCTTACCCTCATTTTTTTACCAGAGCTTATATTGCAATTTTTGTTGTTGTTGTTGTTATTCATTGCTTTTCTCTAGCACTCCTTATTACTGATTCCCATATTGTATTCATTTCTATGCTTGGTCGGCTCAGGAGAATTTGTGGCCTAGCATATGTGCAATATGAGCACTGGTAAAGAAAAATGAAATAATAATAACGGAAATAAATTCAATATGAGCACTGTTAAAAAAATGCTTGCTGAGGCAATAGGTTTATAGGTTCCAAAATTTCATACACAGATGACCTTATGGCCCAGTGGATTAGATCAAGTGACTAGACTTAGACTAGACTAGACCCAAAGAGTTGTGAGTTGAATACCAGGCCACAGCAGTGAACCAAAACCTTGGAAAGTTGAGGTAAAGGGAAATAACTGAAACATCCGGAAGAGGCATGGCTCGTGGAACTAGAACAATCTACCCCGGTGGAAGAAATAAGGCGTTCGTTTCGAAATTCCAATCATCTGAAGAAGGCGGGAGCGTACAATGGCCGAAACGAAATGAAGATGAGGATAACAGTCCGAATAATGCAAGTAATCATAATACCTCATCTCAGAGATATAGACAGATAATTGATATGTTATTGCTTGTTTTATTTTCAAAAGTATCTAGGTTGGTGATTTGAGTCGCGCTACAATTATTGAAAATTCCTTCGTAATGAAACACCTAACCAACTAACCAACCACTCTAAGTTTTTTCAGTTAATTTGACTCAACTACTGACAGTCAAGAGCTGGTAAGAGTATTCGTTCTTAATTCTGTTTCTCTGACAAGTATAGGCATTTTAATTTTCGCCTGCTCACATCCAGCGGGGCTGTCTCTTCAGGGAGTAATTCTTCTATGAGGGAAGTCTAGGATTAAACCGTTGGGTCCGAGGTATCCCAACAGGGAAATGATGCAATTTTCATCGCCAGTGCCATGTACGCGTATCCACCTCCCTGAGACATTGTGTCGTTATGAGTCGGCATTCGGTTAAATATCGTTCAATTTTAGCCTGAAGGCAGATTCTTGCTGCGGAATATTGGTATTCTTTTAGGCTTTTCAAACATCTATTCTTATACCTGGATAATAATGAGGGCATCAGCATAAGAATCATGATAATTTTGGCCTGCAAATCAGTTATGAAAAGATTTCTTCTTCGTCTTTTATGTGTCTTGTCTCTTCAGAACGTATTCGATCACGGTTCTCCACAATTTCTTTTCCTTTGTAACTCTTTAATAACTTATGTCCTTTTGCCATCTCTTCCAAAAACCTAGTCCGTCATCCATTCGCTAAAGCTCGACGGGTAGGTTATGAGCTCTTTTCCTCTGTCCCACTTGCGTTCAATCTGTCCTGTGAGTATCATATTTTCCAAGTTCTCTTTCCTTATTATGTGCCCCAGAAATTTCAACTGCCTGTTGCTGATATTAAGCATAAGTATCCTTTTTTGTTGCCATTGTATCCAGAACATCGTCGCTCCACACATCTTCGGTTCATGGTATTCTCATTATCCTTCTGTAGAGCCACATTTCTGCTACTACCCCTAAATCAACTGTTTAAAGAGAGAAAACACTGCAAATAAAACCCGAGGAACAAGAAGAGACTGTTGGCCAGAGCAAACTTAGAACTGTTAAAAATAACGTAAGTATTACAACTAAAGATATCATTAAATATTTGCAAGTCGCTTGAATAAAAAAAAACAATAAATACTATTATTCTGGATGTGCGACTGGTGTAATGGTCAGTAAAGCGAGTTCGAATTTCAGTTGAGTTCGTTTCATTCTCCTTTTACACAAATACAGTTGGGAAGGTATGAATCTATTTCTTCTTCCATCTGTGGGTTAAATAGTAGGGCAGATTGCGCTCTTCAGACTTGGTTGGCAACCAGTCTAGTAGAAGAAAAACTCTGACTTCCCAAACCTGAGAATAGCTGGGGCCTTAACAGGTACTACCACCTCGGATGAAGGTGGTCCGGGGAACAACAGCAATTAAGAGGTGGTTCTAGGATTCTCAAAAACTCCAATTTCCCAATCAAAGGCCTTGCTGCTAGATGTAGTTTATCGTCTTACCCAGGACAGCTCCAATTTTGCGTCCAAAATATAACTGGTAAACTTTTATCGCAACAGGTGTTATATTTTGCTTTTGAGATGCAAAAGTCACTTCCCCACACAAGTTATCGATTTTGTTTGGACATTCAAGGGACATTTTTCATAGGTGGAAAGGAGAGTAATAATTAGTTTATTAGGATAATAATTATATGTAATAATGTTATTAGGAGAACAATAATTAATCTGGTAAGGAATACAATTTTGATGAAATATTTATATAACACTAGTAGCATATCTTGAAATTGAGAGCTAATCAGCAATTTTGGATATCATTTTTATTTCCAGTGCTCCCAAATTATCCAAGATTGGCTATTTTTGTTTTTGAAGCTTTCATGTTTATTAATTTGTGATTTTAAGATGAATGCTTAACTGTTATGCAACATCATTCCTGCTGTGTAACCTCCTCGCAGATGAAGAGAAGACTTGAGTCAATAGAAATATGGTTCTACCGAAGGATGCTGAGAATATCACAAGAGGAACATGTGTGCAAAGAAGAAGTTTATGGGAAATTGGAGCGAAAAGGAGACCTTTACTTAGGACCAGAAAGAGACAGTTGAAATTTCTGGGACACATAATGAGGAAAGAAGGCTCCTAGAATTTGACACTCACAGGATATAATGAAGGTAAAATTTAAACGGCGGGTAACATACCTAATGATTTGGTGTAAATGCATGGCAGGACACAAATAAGATAAATAGTAAGGAGACAAGCATTGGTTAGAGTTATAAAGGATAGGAAGTTGTGGAGAGCCATGATTGTCCATATCCTGAAGGCATACGGTGCATAACAGATGAATTATTTTTCGCAAAAATTTAACTATATATGTTTGCCTGTGCACATTAAGGACCCTTACATCAATGTGTGCCAATATTTTTTCTGATTCTGGGTTTTAGATTTCAGACCAAGCCATTTCAACAAAGTCTCGGAATGTTGTAAAGGAATAAAAAGTCACAAGGAAAAACCGTCCTCATTCCTGTAATCGTGGGCAGTGGGAGACGTTGCCTGACACAAACGGAACAAGAACCCCTATCCCGCCCTGACTACTTCTCTCGTGAACAAATTTTGCAGTTAGAAGCCAGTAACGTGGGGTGATCCGGGCGTTTAACTCTCAACTATCGTCAGTCATAGATTTTTCGGCTTGATAAAAATGGTGCATTTTGTTTGAAAAAAAAAAAAAAAAAAAGAAAAAAAAAAAGGATTTGTTGTTGAAAATAATAATTAACGACCGAACGCCTTGTTGAAAAATGACTGCATAATGCGCATGCGCCCGGCTACACGTACACTACTTCCATTTCACACAGATGCAAACGTCGACACTTCTTCCTTGTTGAAATGGTTTCCATGTTTTCTTCATTATATTTTTCTTTTTCTTTCTCATGTTTAAAAAAAAATTCATTTTCTAAGACCGCTATTTTCCCACGCCTCATCACTGCAACATATTACTCAAAGCACGTCTCGCGTATTTACAAAAACAATTTTAAAATACTTTATAGTAGTAGACACAATCAAAACGAGTCTAAATTTCTTTATTATCAAATTTGATTATTTTTTTTATTTACATTCTTTACACGCGAATTATTTTCCCTATCTTTGTTGTTGCTAGCAAAACGTTTAGGCTGTTGTGCTTCCTGCACTCATCAGTTGATTATCAATCCGAGTAACCTTTTAATGTTGAGTCTGATTAGCAATCTCTTCGTCCCCGAGGCCCGTTGGAACAGTTGGTATGACGTTTGCTTGATAACCTAACTGCCAGGGTTTCAATTCTCGGTAGTGGATGCGCACTGCTGATGAGTCCCAAATATAGGACAAAACGGCCGTCCAGTGCTTTCTGCATTCTGTTGAGGTTTCTATCAGACTCAATGAATTAATTAAATATATATATATATATGGTAACCAAACAAGACTGTTGCGTTGATTATTATTAGGTGTAAACAAACAATATGGTGCGTAATTAATTGTATAAGGAAAAATAATGCTATGTGAGTAAATATGAAATACGCCTAGTCTTGGACTTTTATAGACTCGGAAGTTAATGCTACCTATGTAATGGTCTGAATTATTATTATTATTGATAATAATAATAATGATAATAATAATAACAACCTGAGAATTAGGGAAGGAGATGGTATACAACATAGCGAAATGCAAGAGAAGATGAGAAAGGAGTACTACAAGCGTGTCGTCTGAATATCGAGCTGAATTCTGCAACTTCTACGGAAAGGAAACTGAAAGAAATTTGTATGAACACCACCCAGAGCCAGTTATGGAGATAGGACCTGTTACAATTTTATGGGACTACACAATACACACAGACAGAACAATCAACGTTACTCGGCCTGACATCGTTATTAGAGACCACAAACAAAAATAAATTGCATCCTTATCGATATGGCAGTCTCTACAGACTGCAATGTATCTTTGAAGATCTTCAAAAAGCTATCAAAATACAAG